ACGCAAGGCGTAACATACATTTCAATGAGATCGATATGAATGGAATTTGATTGTTCTCTAAGAGATCAATAACTTTGAAATTGGATGCGACAGAGGCGATGGACTTTATTTGAGAAAAATCACCGTTTGTGATAGACAAGTTAAACAATTTTACAAGATTCTTAAATCCTTAATTAGACTTTGCCTCTGCATCAATCAAGTTAAATAGCTCATTGATAAGATTATTAAATTACGCGACAAAAAAAAAGAGAAAGGAATGGCTATCGTTACAGCAAACACAACGCGTCCCGCTGGTACTAAACTCTTCGCGGGGGGTAAGTTGTAACACTTTAATTGCCCATCTGTAACGTCTGACCTGACGTATAATACTGGTATCGGAATAGCGAAATGCGCCGCTACTTCAGGTTGCCCGACAGCGTCCGGAATGAAATGAGCCTTTGCGTTCCTTTCAGGCGCAGTTGGAACTCACGAATTACACGTTAAGAGAAGGTGGGGGAGGAGGTAGAAGGAGATCACGAAGTCAGCGAAGTAATATCCTATAATTTGCCTCTAGAGACCCGGTAAGGTAAAATCAAGTTAGGATAAGTGGATATACGTGTGAATGGCGAAAATCGTCGTTTGAAAAATCGATAATCTTTTGTCTTTTGTATGAACGAATCGTGTAAAGTTATCAAACTAAATAGTAACGTAAAGCGACAATTGCGTTGAATGAAAAAATAATTTCCCCGCTTGTCGAATCACTATATGATTTTCTACCTGTTAACTCGCATTTAGAATAAGAATTTTTTTTTATTTATAACGCAAAAGTGATTGAAGTAGCTTTGTTACAATCAGCATTTCCATCAAATAAAACAATATTAATGGATACTTCGAAAAAAAATCAAAAAATACAGAAAAAACTATAATTTAGAAATTATAATTAATTATAATTACAATTATAATTATTATTACAGAGAAAATTATAATTTAGAAATTATAATTATTACCATAGAAGTTATAATTTACAAGTTGAAATGTAATATATAAGCATGATCCGAAATTATTCAGTATTCCATTAAAAACGAAGTACAGAAAAGTTATTCACGTAGATAATTTAAAATCATACAACCGCCAATTGCCAGCGCCAAGATAATCAAATTCAAAAGAAAACTTAACGTCCATTACACTGTTTCGCTCATCGTTTAGCAAATAGCAGTGAGATATAGAAGTTTATTCTCCTAGGTAGGATACAGCTCTTTATTCTGGTTTACATAGTACTCTGCGTACTTTAGAACGTCGTGAATAATACCTGATGTGTTCCATCACCCTTGTACAGTATATATCGTGTTATGTATGGGTTACATAATGTAAAATTAAGAACGATGACTATAGAGGGACTTCCACTCCTGGAGCATAATTTCATTTAATATCTCAATTAAGGGAATCCCTCAATTAAGGGAAATCCCTTTGCTACTAAAAAAAAAAATGTCCTACATTGTGTCCATCAGATTTCCAAACAATATTGAATCGTGACTATGTGCCATGCCATAATAACTTGTACAATATTGTTAAGCCGATTATGCGCCGATATTGTGTCATTAAATATTAATTAGTGCCCCAAAGTATCATCACAGGCCAGTCCGAAAAGCAAATTCATCTGGCGAGTTACATTGTGGATTACAAAGTTGATAGACGCCGATAATAGCTATTACAAAATGGTATACAACATGGAAGTTTGATAAACGAGGAAAAGTGACATTTTTACAATGATAATGCAACTCAATATAGCTTAACTTTAATGCTTTATATAAATGTTATATAAATGTATGTAAAATAATAAATGTGTATCGCAAAAGTATGACAGTATGTAAAAATCTGCATTTATCTTACGCAAATTTTAATTATAAATATGTACTCTAAATGTTATGTTTATAACATATTAAAGTAATTTTTGTATATCTTGCATATTTGCAATTATCTCCATTTTAAGTAAATATTGATCAAAATTCTATAATTTTATAAGTGCAGTTCTATAATAAATATTTTTAACAGAAAATAAATATATAAATCGAATTTGTTATTAATATAATTGTATGGTTCAACCAAGAAAACTGTCATGAGTAATTAAATTAGCCCAATTTGTTGTCTCCAGCTTAATCGCGTTTGTAGAAAGACCCGTTTTACGCGGCTTCCTGCCAAATTGACGAACGGAAACACGTCACATCTCAATCATTTAAGAAAAATCGTCCGTCGGGGAATGTTGAAAAAAATCGAGATCTTGATAAGAATTTCACAGGCGAATTTCTAATCGCCTCGAGTCTTCGTGATCGCGAGCCTAGCCAGCAGCGATATCGCAGAGTCCCGTATTCGCGCATAAAAGAATTCTCATCGAAGCCGAGACATAAAAGTCGAGGATCCACCGCGTAATTTAACTTCCCGGTGGCGTATGCACCTTCGTGAGCGCGGCCACTATCGCATAACTTTCCAACTTCGTGATATGCTTCCTTCGTGATCTTATATATTTCTAAGTTAATGGGTCGGGCCTCCCGTGGCGTGCCGCGATTCTCGTCGTCCTGGCACGATAGGTCCGACAGGACATACCCGAACCGATTTACGAACATTTCTCGAATTCCTTCTGGGGGCCTTCTAAAATATTCAGCCAGCAATACCATGATTTGATAAGTTTCGATAATGGCCGCATATTTAACGGAGTTAAATATGCACGTTCATTTCTATCTAGATATATACATAAATGCGAAATTACTACACTGGGGCACATTATTATAAATTTATTTCTCAGAGTGGCACTTAGAGTGGCACTTTAAAAATATAAAATGTGTTGCTTAAATGTTTATTATCAAAATAAAAAAGTTTATTTAAAAAGTTAATAATTGTATACTTTCGTTCTAACCGTCTAATCTTTCTATTCTAATCGTTTAAAGTGTTCAAAGAATCTTTCAATATCTTTTTTCCTCTACTAATTTGTTACTTTAGCCTCGTATAAGAATAATTCTATTATTTGATTATTAATATATCCTGTATTTTGCTAGAACCTAGAAATAATATTCAATTTGACCTGTTTGCCGAATGTCACATACTAATAAAGTTATACGTCAAATAACAGAATAGAAACCCTTTTTCGATATCTCGCGTATCAATTTGAACCTGACGTGCCAAACGACTAATTCGAGGTATTCCAAGAAGTTCACGATTCGCTTAACTGAATTCCATGCCGTCCTGGAGTAATGTGTACCACGACGTCACAAAAACGTCACGCTATTTTCTCACACCCTCTTGAATTTATGGTGATAAATTGTCGCGATCGAGATAAACGTACTCCCCAGATTGCCGGCCGTTGCTCTTCAGCCTGACCCATTTCTCCGGAATGCCAACAGTCAATGCCGATTGGCATAAGCAAGAAGCATTCTTCCGCTCGAGTGGCAAGCAAGCGTCGTAGCTCTTAGCGGATTAATCGCGGCGCAGCTTCCATTTTCTCTTGAGTGATCCTGTAAACTCGTTCGTACAAGACTTTCCTAGAACATCTCTATGTAAATTCCTTGACCGCAAATGCAAACATTACATAGGTTACATTAGTATTATCAGATGTAAGAAATAACTTCTTTATATGTTTAGATAATTCGTCGTACGGTAATGTTTTTATATAAAATTTTATATAATATTTGTATAAAAAATATTTTTTTCAATGCTGAATATACAGATTTTAACAGCTGTATTTATTCGGACTATGTAAATACATGTGCACTTTTATCTTGCTTAATAACGTTATTTTCAGGATGTTTTTAGATCTTATCATAATTTTATCCTACATCAACCATCTGACCGACATCTCTTTGTAGTCAGTTAAATGTCATTCTATAACCGAGCGAGTCGAGTGGTTCTACGTTGCTGCCTTTTACATTTCTCATTTCGCATTACGTTTCCAATGACTGTATCTCACGGCCGC